TTAATTCCACCCGAGAGGAGAAAGGGTTAAGTAGGATAAGTAAGGAGTTAAAGTAACTGTGGTCGAGATGGCCTAGTGGTAAGGGCAATGTGCTGCATGTGGGGGTGGTTTGAGAAGAATCCAGTTAAAGTGCAAGCGTGGTGGTCTAGTGGTAAGGAGAAAGTGTTGCAAGTGTGTGAAGCCAGGTTCGATTCCTGCTTGTGCCAAGCAGGTTCGAGTCGCGGTTGTGCCAAGAGCATTTTAGCGTCGGGCGTCCTCCTTAGTTAATTCCACCCGAGAGGAGAAAGGGTTAAGTAGAATAAGTAAGGAGTTAAAGTAACTGTGGTCGAGATGGCCTAGTGGTAAGGGCAACGTGCTGCATGTGTGGGAGGGCAGGTTCGAGTCGCGGTTGTGCCAAGAGCATTTTAGCGTCGGGCGTCCTCCTTAGTTAATTCCACCCGAGAGGAGAAAGGGTTAAGTAGGATAAGTAAGGAGTTAAAGTAACTGTGGTCGAGATGGCCTAGTGGTAAGGGCAACGTGCTGCATGTGGGGGAGGGCAGGTTCGAGTCGCGGTTGTGCCAAGAGCATTTTAGCGTCGGGCGTCCTCCTTAGTTAATTCCACCCGAGAGGAGAAAAGGTTAAGTAGGATAAGTAAGGAGTTAAAGTAACTGTGGTCGAGATGGCCTAGTGGTAAGGGCAACGTGCTGAATGTGGGAGAGGGCAGGTTCGAGTCGCGGTTGTGCCAAGAGCATTTTAGCGTCGGGCGTCCTCGTTAATTATTCCACCCTAGAGAAGAAAGAGTTAAGTAAAATAAAAAAAGAAGGTAAAGCAAGTGCAGCCGAGATGGTCTAGTGGTAAAGACGGAAGTATTGCCAGTGCGTGAAGCCAGGTTCGATTCCTGGTTGTGTCACAAAGCATTTTGGGCCTCGACAAGGGTATAATTAATTATAAGGTCGATGGGAAAATGCTTAAGTACAATAAAAACATAACTATTTCACCAATAGGCCTCATGGCCTAGAGGTACCTGCAAGTAGGCGATCGACTGGTGCGGATCGTGGCGGAGAAATAGCAGACGCCTTTCTGCGGCGCCGAATTTCCAGAGGTTAACACTGAGGAAGTGCTAACAAGATCAGAAAAAAACACTAAACCATACTATTCCTCCCACCAACCAATACATTTTTTAAAAATAGAAAAACCAATGTCTTGGGTTACCTGTGCCGAGGACACAGGTAGCCCAAGACACGACACAGGTAACCCAAGACGTTTAATTTTCTATTTTTTTAAAAAATAAGTGAGGACGTGGTGACTGAGGACGTGGTCCTCAATTGAAAGATGGAAAACTAAACGTCTTGGGCTACCTGTGCCGTGTCTTGGGCTACCTGTGGCGAGGGCACAGGTAACCCAAGACGTTTAATTTTCTATTTTTTTTAACTGAGGGCCACGTCCTCACTTATTTCCCTCGAAAAAAAACAACTTAATGCTCTAGACACAACCGCGACTCGAACCTGCCATCTCGCACATGCAACACTTCGCCCTTACCACTAGGCCATCACGACCACACTTACTTGAACGCCTTACTTATTCTACTTAACCCTTTCTCCTCTCGGGTGGAATTAACTAAGGAGAACGCCCGACGCTAAAATGCTCTTGGCACAAGCGCGACTCGAACCTGTGCACCCCCACATGCGACACTTCGTCCTTACCACTAGGCCATCACGACCACACTTACTTGAACTCCTTACTTATTCTACTTAACCCTTTCTCCTCTCGGGTGGAATTAACTAAGGAGAACGCCCGACGCTAAAATGCTCTTGGCACAAGCGCGACTCGAACCTGTGCACCCCCACATGCGACACTTCGTCCTTACCACTAGGCCATCACGACCACACTTACTTTAACTCCTTACTTATTCTACTTAACCCTTTCTCCTCTCGGGTGGAATTAACTAAGGAGAACGCCCGACGCTAAAATGCTCTTGGCACAAGCGCGACTCGAACCTGTGCACCCCCCTGTGCGACACTTCGTCCTTACCGCTCACACCTGTGCGACACTTCGTCCTTACCGCTAGGCCATCACACCTGTGCACACACCTGTGCGACACTTCGTCCTTACCGCTAGGCCATCACGACCACACTTACTTTAACTCCTTACTTATTCTACTTAACCCTTTCTCCTCTCGGGTGGAATTAACTAAGGAGAACGCCCGACACTAAAATGCCCTTGGCACAACCGCGACTTGAACCTGCCCTCCCCCAAATGCAGCACGTTGCCTTACCACTAGGCCATCTCGATCACAGTTACTTTAAATCCTTACTTATTCTACTTAACCCTTTCTCCTCTCGGGTGGAATTAACTAAGGAGAACGCCCGACGCTAAAATGCTCTTGGCACAAGCGCGACTCGAACCTGCGCACCCCCACATGCGACACTTCGTCCTTACCACTAGGCCATCACGACCACACTTACTTTAACTCCTTACTGATTCTACTTAACCCTTTCTCCTCTCGGGTGGAATTAACTAAGGAGAACGCCCGACGCTAAAATGCCCTTGGCACAACCGCGACTTGAACCTGCCCTCCCCCAAATGCAGCACGTTGCCCGTTCCACTAGGCCATCTCGATCACAGTTACTTTAACTCCGTACTTATTCTACTTAACCCTTTCTCCTCTCGGGTGGAATTAATTAACGAGGACGCCCGACGCTAAAATACTCTTGGCACAAGCGCGACTCGAACCTGCCCTCTCGCACTTGCAACACCAGAACACTACCACTATACTATTAGATCTATTCATTGTTTGCAACTATACTAATATGTACATAATCTAACATCACCAAATTTTTGGGAAAAAAATTAAAAGCCTTGAGCCTTTACTTTTTGGCACGCAAATAATGATGAAACATCAAAGTCTTCAAGATTTTTTTAAAATTTCGTTATAAAAATATATGAATTATTAAGGTTTTTCCTTCCAAAAGTCGCTAAAGATGGACGAAAAGTTAAGCCTATAGTCTTACTTCTTTGCTGTTTTTTGCACACTTATGAAAAATGGAAAAAGTCGCTAAAGATGGACGAAAAGTTAAGCCTATAGTCTTACTTCTTTGCTGTTTTTTGCGCACTTATGAAAAATGGAAAAAGTCGCTAAAGATGGACGAAAAGTTAAGCCTATAGTCTTACTTCTTTGCTGTTTTTTGCGCACTTATGAAAAATGGAAAAAGTCGCTAAAGATGGACGAAAAGTTAAGCCTATAGTCTTACTTCTTTGCTGTTTTTTGCGCACTTATGAAAAATGGAAAAAGTCGCTAAAGATGGACGAAAAGTTAAGCCTATAATAGTCTTACTTCTTTGCTGTTTTTTGCGCACTTATGAAAAATGGAAAAAGTCGCTAAAGATGGACGAAAAGTTAAGCCTATAGTCTTACTTCTTTGCTGTTTTTTGCGCACTTATGAAAAATGGAAAAAGTCGCTAAAGATGGACGAAAAGTTAAGCCTATAGTCTTACTTCTTTGCTGTTTTTTGCGCACTTATGAAAAATGGAAAAAGTCGCTAAAGATGGACGAAAAGTTAAGCCTATAGTCTTACTTCTTTGCTGTTTTTTGCGCACTTATGAAAAATGGAAAAAGTCGCTAAAGATGGACGAAAAGTTAAGCCTATAGTCTTACTTCTTTGCTGTTTTTTGCGCACTGATGAAAAATGGAAAAAGTCGCTAAAGATGGACGAAAAGTTAAGCCTATAGTCTTGCTTCTTTGCTGTTTTTTGCGCACTTATGAAAAATGGAAAGAGTCGCTAAAGATGGACGAAAAGTTAAGCCTATAGTCTTACTTCTTTGCTGTTTTTTGCGCACTTATGAAAAATGGAAAAAGTCGCTAAAGATGGACGAAAAGTTAAGCCTATAGTCTTATTTCTTTGCTGTTTTTTTGCGCACTTATGAAAAATGAAAAAAGTCGCTCAAGATGGACGAAAAGTTAAGCCTATAGTCTTACTTCTTTGCTGTTTTTTGCGCACTTATGAAAAATGGAAAAAGTCACTAAAGATGGACGAAAAGTTAAGCCTATATAGTCCTACTTCTTTGCTGTTTTTTGCGCACTTATGAAAAATGGAAAAAGTCGCTAAAGAAGGACGAAAAGTCAAGCCTATAGTCTTACTTCTTTGCTGTTTTTTGCGCACTTATGAAAAATGGAAAAAGTCGCTAAAGATAGACGAAAAGTTAAGCCTATAGTCTTATTTCTTTTCTGTTTTTTGCGCACTTATGAAAAATGGAAAAAGTCGCTAAAGATGGACGAAAAGTTAAGCCTATAGTCTTACTTCTTTGCTGTTTTTTGCGCACTTATGAAAAATGAAAAGTCTCTATAGATGGACGAAAAATGTAAATAGGACCATTGAATGCGAATTTTCAGATCATTCTTATACAATAGACTGTACTTTAATAAGTTATTGGTATGTTTGCATGGCAATAAAACATATAATAGTTTTGTTTGTGGAAACACCACATAAATTTATTACTTCAAAGCTGATGAACATCCAGGCTGACGGATCGAAAGCTTTGCAGTAATAAATTTATATGGTGTTTCCACAAACAAAACTATTAGACTGTTCTTTGTTAACGATATACAATCAAATTGAAACTCACCTTTTAAGTACTTCATCAGACATCTGCAAATCCAATGGAACAATTTTACAACATCCAAAAATGACAATTTATGTTGGACTTGATTAGCTTGTAGACACTGGTATTTTGTTACATCATACAGTAGTTGGATTGCTTTTGCCTAAAATGAGTAAGTTAACTGATTAACCCATTGAGTGGCAGCACTCTCCCCTTCAGGGATGAATTTACTGGGGGCTGCACCCCCCCCCCCAGCCAGAGCGGTTACAGGGGTGGGGCTGGGGGTGCTATTTTTCATGATAAAGCAAAACATTATGGGAGACAAAATGAGATACAGTAATTGGAGTAATAACATGATGATAAACAAACTGTGAACAACAATTACAATTCAAATACAGTAGTCAAGCAAGACTTTGCAGTAGTGAAGCAAGTTGATGGGCAGGCGGCACACATGACCGACAGAACTCGATCTGCACCAGAGCTGTTAGAGGCCCTGCTCCCCTTGATAAGTAAACTTGCCTGGCGCATCTGGGTGCATTGCCACTCAAAAGGTTAAGCTGAAATGCTTACAACTTTATTATTGTATATTTATGAAAGTGATATAATTATTTATGGTCTAATTGTCAAGGAAAAAGGTCGTTTTGTGCGAAAACATTCCCTGGTGGAAACCTGGCTTTAGACAGTGTGAAATAATGAAGTGGTGCTCATCAGGATATACACCATTGAGTGGCAACACTCTCCACTTGATGAGTTATTTTTCTGTGTCTAATACCAGATGATTTACTAAAGCAGGGATGGATCCAGCATGATCTGGTAGGTGGGGGTGCAAATTTTTTTAGGGGGCCCTATTTAAAATCCCCCCTCCCCCTCCCGTCGACAACTTCTTAGGCAAAAAATGTTCCCGGACGAGTACGTTGCAATTGCTTTCCAGTGACTTTAGCCGTCCATCAATTTGCTACACTACGTACAGCAAAGTCTTGCTTGACTACAGTATTTGAATTGTAATTGTTGTTCACAGTTTGCTTATCATCATCACATGGCATTACTCAAATTACTGTATCTCATTTTGTCTCTAATAATTTTTTGCTTTATTATGAAAAATAGCACCCCCCCTGGCCACGGCTAGGAGGGGTGCACCCCCCCAGTAAATCCATCCCTGTACTAAAGTAGGGTGCATCAGCCATCAGGGTGCATTGCTACTTAAAGGGTTAAACACATTAAATAAAAGTGAATTGAACAATAATATTACAATATAAGATTGCTTATATAATTATCCTGGTGTGTAATTCATATTACTTATAATATCATGTACAGGTGATTAGTGTATTGACTGAGACAATGTAAATTAATAATTGGTTAATAATTTAATCTTTACAAGACGTGTAGAAAATACAGCTTATACGTCCAGATTTGGAACTTATATGGCATCGTAGAGTGCCAAACCTTAGATACTTCTAAGCCAAATTTGAATCTTAGAAGCGTAGCAGATGAAAGTTCATAGTCTTCATTTCAGGATGAATTTAGACAATCCCCATATAACATGTGTAATTAATTAACCCATTGAGTCGCATTGCACCCTGATGCACTGATTGCACCCTACTTTAGTATTTTACTCTGTCTAACACCAGACATTTTACTTGTCAAGGGGAGAGCGCTGGAGCTTAATGGGTTAATGATAGTTAAATCAAATAATACAACTTGTGCTGTACATACTGTATATCGTAGGACAAAAACCAACTTGTCTCAGTTCCTGACTGTTTAGTACATGTTGATTTGCATGTGATGTTGGTGTTTATATGTATTGAGTGTTAATATCCACACCGGCCTAGCTTGAAAAACACATGTATGTATACCTGGCTGGTGGGAAGCGAACCTACAACTAGGGTTGGGCGATATTTCGATAGTTTGATTTATCGCGATATTTTCAATCGCGATTATTGTATCGAAGGTAGAAACTTGAGTGACGATATATCGAAATTATCGTCATGCTCGTTGACTATCGTGATATTGCTTCGCAAGTGTAATATATAACTTTTATAAATTCCTAGAAAATATAGTTTTTAAAAGAATTAAAACTATTTCCTGAATTAAATACGAATTTAATACAATACAAAAGCTAATATTTATGTATTAATCTGCTGAACAATGAAATTGCAGGTTTTGCTGGCGCTCTGTGCCCACGGCATTTGTGCCAGCGGAGACACAGTAGACACTACATAGACAGTTCTGGTTTATGAACAGTAAACATTAGACTAGAAAAAGCCTTCATTTTACTTTAATTTTTGTTTTACTTGTTTTAATAAGATTATATATAAGCTTGCTTTTATTGCATTTATCGCGATATTATCGAATATCGTGATAATTTCCTTGACAATAATCGTGAGATGATTTTTTAAATATCGCCCAACCCTACCTACAACCTTTGGAATACAAGCCCATTATGCTCTGTCAACTGAGCTACACGGTCAGGACGTTTAGAGTATGTGATACATTAAACCTCCGACTATATAGCCCCCCACATATACTAACACTCACCTCATTCCAAATATAAGCCCCCTAAATATAAGCCCCCCTCCCCGAATATAAGCCCCCTGAAATATATAGAAGATACTACACAATGGCATGAAGATACTGTATGACTTTTTATGTTCAAGTGGTGAAAACAATATTTTACAAACGAGCGCAGCGAGTGAATAAAATATTGTTTTCAACATGAGAAGATAAAAATCATATCTTCAAGCCATTAACATGTAATGTTCTGTTTATTATATAGTCCCACCGTTCTGTTTATTATATTAGTCTCTGTTTATCTCTACCGATTATAAAAGACCCGTAGCCCACTATGTTACGGCCATAAACTTCCGACTATTAAAGCCCACCCCCAATATAAGCCCACCACATAATACTAACGCTCACCTCATTCCAAATATAAGCCCCCCCCCCCAATATAAGCCCACCCGAATAAAAGCTTCCCAAATATAAGTCCCCTGAATATTGTATAAGCCCAGTAGCCCACTATGTTATTCTGAACATTGACATTGTCTTAAATCAGAGAACAATATTTAGAAACATTGTTATTGTCTTTATAGCCGACAGAATATGTTAATCATAGCGTGTTATTAATACATCTTTATTTTCCTGTTTATGACCGACTTGTGTATTACTAACACAAACGATTGTCCATGTATTAGGCCCCCCCCCCCCGTATGTAAGCCCCCCCTTGTATAAGCCCATCAAAAATTGCTTACAAAAGTGAAAGCTTTGGGAGGGCTTATATTAACCCATTGAGTCACATTGCACCCTGATGCACCCTATAAACCAGTAGTGTAACTTTACTTTTTTGACCACTTGCCCCCCCAAGTTGGACATGCAAATTATAGTTGCCCTGAATAAAATTCACTTGCCATCAAACAATGGCCACTGGGGCACCGAGGTTCCTACCCCATTCTCCCGCTGCAGCTCTATATGGCCATGTTATATACTACCTCAAATCTAGCTTATTATGGCCCACAAAAAAATTGAATCAAGTACATGCACTATAAAAACTTTATCTGACAATGAAAGCATAAACTTAAAGATGCCCAGTTTTTGTGGCAAGGCAACTTGCCCGATTGGGCAAGCAAGATAAAACATTTACTTGCCCGTCATGATATGTATTCACTTACCCCAGGCAAGCAGGCAAGTGTTAACCCATTAAGCGCCAGCGCCCTCCCCTTGACGAGTAAAGTCATCTGGCATTAGACAGAGTAAAATAATAAAGGAGGGCGCAATGCAACTCAATGGGTTAACTAGAGACATGGGCAGATAGGCCAGTTAACCCATTAAGTGCCAGCGCCCTCCCCTTGACGAGTAAAGTCATCTGGCGTTAGACAGAGTAAAATAATCTGGAGTTAGACAGAGTAAAATAATAAAGTAGGGTGCATCAGGGCGCAATGCAACTCAATGGGTTAACTAAAGACCCAGGCCCAGGAGGTTTATGGTATTTAGTATAAACCCTCCCAAATACAAGCCCACTACATATACTAACATGGCAAGCTTCATTCCAAATATAAGCCCCCTGAATATAACCCTCCCCCCGAATATAAGCCCCGAATACTGTATAAGCCCCCTGAAATATAAGCCCAGTAGCCCACTATGTTATTTAATATAAGCCCTCTCAAATATAAGCCCAGGCCATCCCAGGAAAGAGAAGGCGGGCATGCAGTGAATCGCACTCCTCGGGCTTGCTAGGCGTGCAGTGGCGTGCGATCGTATTTTTAACCCCAATTAACTTGACGTTCTTTGGTTTAAGGCATTAAAATTGTTACATAACCTAAGTTGGGTTATGTATTTCAACGCCTTAAACTAACTTTGCGCCAGAATGTAACATATTACGAGAATAACCGCTGGAATTTCGAAAATTGGAGTATGGGCAATGAAAGCACCATGGTAATATATATTTTTTATATACTTTGTGTTGTTATACTGTTCATATGATGAAATGTACAATTGTAATATTAAGAAAAATACATCGCACCGCTCCTTGATTGAGGCGTGCGTTTTATCGCACGCCTCAATGAGCTGGGGCGTGTGCCAAGGCGTGCGTGTGCGATCGCACGCCTTTCCAAGGATGGCCTGCAAGCCCATGTACTAATTAAATATAACACTCACCTCATTCCAAATATAAGCCCCGCAAATCTAAGCTGTCCCCCAAATAAGCCGTCCCCCAAATATAAGCCACCGGAAATATAAGCCCCGTAGCCCACTATGCTGTTTAATATAAGCCCTCCCAAATATAAGCCCACCACATATACTCAAACATTCCAACCGTCCCGGTTTACCCGGGACTGTCCCGGTTTGGACTATGTTGTCCCGGTGTCCCGGTTTTCTTCTTATTGTCCCGGTTTCTGACTTTCTGTAGTATTTTAATAGTTGTATTCTTCAAATAAGGCTCATGTGACAAATATTAATGAAATTCGTTTGGTTCAATACATATTAATGAAATGGGAGCTTCTAGTTGCCCCAAACAATTGCCGAGTTTGTCTCCGATCGTTGTAATTCTCGTGACATATGTTGTTTTGACAATTTAGCGTTCGCTTTCAATTCCTATTCATTTGCCAGGGCTACATGAAGTAAAGCAGCGTAACAGAAACGGGCGAATAATCGCGGGCTCTTGAATACGAGAGATCATGGGTTTCAACGTTATAGTGTAATAGAACTAGTTTTGTAGCATTCACTGTGAATTTATTGTTTAATTCAAACTCAACTCAGCCAATTTTAACACTAACCCAAATCGACACCACATCAAATGAGAAAAGCGCGGCATTTATTTGAGGGAGGCGTTTATTCGAGGGAGGCGTTTATTTATTAAGTAAAATGGGAAATTGGGAAGTACGTGTCCCGGTTTTGAGGACTCGGAGGTTGGAATGTCTGTATACTAACTATAGTGGAAAGTACGCTTTGGCTGCCGCAGGAGACTGCCGCAGTTGACAAGACCATGCATTCTATCCTGCCGCAATGCCAATAATATGCTGCCGCAGGTAAAAAATCAAACGACTACACGCAATACTGCTGACCACTAAACAGTAAACATTGAAGCCTTCACTCTTAAAAAAAGACGTGCTATTAAAATCAACACAGCTTTTTTGTCGAATGATTAATCATCTTAAGATGTGCCGATACAACACAGCACTGGCATGTCACCCAAATTGTGCCGCATGTATTTTCTAAACTATTTCTGCCGCACTATCAATTTTACAGTTTTTCTGCTGCAAGATTTTGCCGCATCAGCAGTTTTTTACCTTTGCCTGCCGCGGGAGATCTCCCGTTAAAGTGCCCAACTTTCCACTATGGTATACTAATGCTCACCTCATTCCTGAATATAAGCCCACTGAATATAAGCCCCCAGACATAAGCCCAGTGTAGCCCACTACATTATCCAACATTGAAATTGTCTTTATAGCTTGCCATGTTAATCAAGCATGTAATACATATTCATATTTAAAAGATTGTTCATGTATTAGCCCCCGCACACAAGCCCCCCCCCTTTGTAGTATTAAACTATATAAGCCCAGGGGCCAGGGCTGGAATAATTTTATAATTTGGCAGAAAATCTATAATATGAACATGTGTATAATATTTCAAGAAATGCGATAGCCGTTTTGACCAGTAAAAGCCTGACTTTACCGAAGTACAGCTTCGAGAGTCGAGGAGTTTTATTAAAAACTAAAAAATGTTATCGAAAAGTATAAAAAAAACTTAAAAACTTACCATTAAGCCAGGCTGCTCTTTCATTCAAGCGTTGTCTCTTTATCCATGATCGAATTTCCAGTAGTGTTTTAATATAAACCAGTACAATCACTTTATAAATATGAGTTTATGTAGCGAAAATATTTCCGGCCGTCTTTCACAACAATTTATTACAACATCACAGAGATAATTACAGAATCGTTTTCCCTGTCCATTGATTATAATTTCCGAAACTAATCAGTCGCCATAACGTTAAATAAGCGAGTATTTGTGAACAAAAATGCCCTTTGATAAACGCGAAGCTTTAACCAGCGCCATCTTGTCTTCTTCTCCAAACATTACAAATTTTCCCGCCAAAAACACCGAAGTGAAGGTCATTGAACTATAAATAAACTGGAAGGCTAACTCAGGGGGGGAAATTGAAGCCAGTGTATTTTAGTTTTTCTGAGTTATGAGCAGAAATACTCAACACTGAACGTTGGGCAATATATCAAATTGAAGCTATTGAAAAACGCTATGTGGTGTAGAAATTTCAAGACTTTAGCTAAAAGGGAAATATTGAAAAACTACAAACATAATTACCGATGATTTGCCGTTTTGCAGTTGTTTTTGTATTTTTTAAATATTTTTCTTTTCGCTGAAGTCTTGAAATTTCCACACCGAATAGCAATTTTCAATAGCTTCAATTTGATATATAGTCCGACGTTTGGGGTCAAGTATTTCTGCTCATAACTCAGAAAAACTATTTTGGCTTCATCAAATCATAGGCCTTCATCATAGCAGTTAGCCTTCCAGTTATTTATAGTTCAATGGTGAAGGTTAAGTCATCTATGGTTAAGTCCCGTATGAAACTGACGTCACAGGTGTCATGCGCATGCGTCACAGGTGAAAATATTTAAAAAATTGAAAAATACGCTCTAAATCCAATTTTAATCTGTTTACCTTCGTTTTTTTCGCTTTTCACATATTTTCCCACCTAACCACGATTGAAACACAACAATTTTTGCCCGCTAAATATTTTAAAATCAACAAAAATATTAAATATGAAGTATTACTTCATAATTTGTAGAAATATGCTCTTCGGGCGAACATCGGGAAAATCCGAAGTGGTCCGACTCACGTCTGAGTCACTGAGCTGTATACGGCACCGGATGTCTTATCTGTTTTTCACCCTGAACTTTATATGATTTTCTTCTTGCGACTCTTAGAATCCTTAGATATATATATATAGAGTTATAGGATCTTATAACCGCCTTGGTTCTGCCATGAAATGGTTCTGGCCCATTTTCAAAAAAACTCAAACTGCAGGTAAAATCATTGATTATTTGGCATGATACAATTGATATTCAATGTTGGCCTCTCCAGGCATACCGCACCCTAGCAAAAATATAATGTATTCAGTTAAAAATGCATTAAAAACAGTTAAAATGTGCATAAAGTTCACCTGACTTTACTATCGATATTGGCGATAATATTCTCATTATGTATGCAGACCACCTCACGTGGTTACGTTATCGGATCTTATCGTATTGCCGCAACCACGTGACACGATAAAGCATTAAGTCAGGCGAGAGCTTTATGTGCATTTTTGAATGTTTTAACATAGTTTTAAGTGAAGACATATGGTTGCTCGACCATAGTGGAAAGTTGGGCACTTTAACGGGAGATCTCCCGCGGCAGGCAAAGGTAAAAAACTGCTGATGCGGCAAAATCTTGCGGCAGAAAAACTGTAAAATTGATAGTGCGGCAGAAATATTTTAGAAAATACTTGCGGCACAATTTGGGCGACACGCCAGTGGTGTGTATTATGTTGGCCCACCCCAGCAACTATTTTAGAACTTTACCAGGCCTGAAAATATCGGTCGGTCATGGACATTGTCCGACCCATTCGTTAAATTGTCCGACGTAGAGAGCAAGCCACCGGACATTCTGTCAGACATAAGTGAAACTGGTGTTTATTGTTTGTCCGACCCGAGTGTGTTGGTGTCCGACCACACTCGTCTGTAGCTAAAATTGTCTAATGGAAATGTTAATTGTAGCTTTGTCCAATGGAAATATTGAGCAAAATGGTGAAGTGGAAAACAGGCTTAATTTTGGCTTGGAAATAAGTATGAATGACACAAATTATTTAATATCTTCACAACATTAAACATTCAGAATTAATACATTGTGCTGATATTCATTTGTGTCATTCAGACTTATTTCAAATAGTCAAAACTGAAGGTTCATCGGATATACATGACGGACCCAAACTCAACGTTATCGGACATTTTGTCAGACGGCCCTGTAAAAGATATTTTAAGGCCTGCTACTTCATCTCCCAATCCAACCGGCCCACCCTCCCTCATAAATAATAAGCAGTTCCTCCTATGGAACTTTTGGCAGAATATATATCAACATGAAAGTACAAATTATGTAATTACTTTTTAGTAACTACTTTACAGTGTTCTGGGAATTCAACCCGGAAACGAAGAGTACTGTGTCTTTCCAATTTTCACGACTAGATAATAACTAGTGTACTAGAACATTCCAAGGGGGGGGGGGGTACTTCCAATTTCCTCCATGCGAGAGGTTATGACCCAATCGTAAATTACTCTTCCAATGAATTTTTTTTATTGAGAAAAATATAACATTTATACAGTACTAAATTCGTCCCGAACACGGACACTGTTTTTTGTTTTGGAATTTTCAGATATTTTGCCAAACGAAAAATTACGTAATCACCCGAGGAAAACCAGAGGATCTGGTGAAAAACCTTGGTGATTACGAGTCCGGATTCCGAAAACCCAACCCTAGTGTGACCGAATTAACTATAATATATACCATACCTACCAATACCTACCAATACCTACCAAAATCCAGAAAAGTAAATATCTTGCAAAAAAAAATCCAAATAAAAAAAATCTCACGAGATGTCAACAAAAAAAATTGTAGACCACCCGAAAAATTCAGTCTACAGATTGCGCAAGACAAATATGCCTCTTTTTATTAACAAATTGTTCCATGTAAGGGTATATTTATCTTAACCTTGAAACTTGAAAATATTTCAGATATGTTCAGGACAAGGTGCGTGGCAAATGAATCCAATGGCCCAACATATTTGACAATAGTTTGTAAAAGCTATTAGGACACTTGGGTGCATTTTAAAGATGTGATGTGTGCATTTCTATATTTTAGATTTTTGCCGCATTTTGCTTTATCGCGCGCAAGAAAATTGCAACGCGCGCACTCAATTTAAGTTAGCATGCACTGGTTTTCATGCCCTTAATTGTACTAAGCATGCATCTGAGCGCGTTTAATTTTGTTTGCATGAAACGTTGCGCACTTAATTCTAATCAACATGCACCTTAATTTATATTTCAAGTCAAGACTATATAGAGCACAACGTCACTATTTGCACATGGAGTACACTCACCGACTGTACTCCGCATTACAGCAGCACGCGCCGCGCGCGCCGCTTATGTTAATTAGCTGCGCACGACCATGGTGTTTTTTTATGATCCATGGTTCGACCAAGCTTATGTATGAATGTAAGACAACACGGAATGCAACATGGCAAACATTCTATGTCGCTGACCATATATAAACTTGATCTGCAGAGTGTTTTCACGGCGGCTATGTTTGGGAACAAGTTAAAGTGCCGAAATACAAGTTAACAAGAAAACCATTATTTTAAAATACTTGTCCGTCAACAAAGCAACACGTGAAAACACTATTTTTCCTGGCGGTCTTTTCGGCTGAAAACTTATAGTACAATTTATAAAGCGCGCGCGCAATGCATTAGCAACCTAAAGAAACGAGCCTATTCTCCACTTTGGAACGAGAACTACGTTTCTTATCGTTAAGCTCCTAATCCAAGATATCTTGGCAGAAAATTGTTTCTTTTTTGTTGTGTTTTTTCTGCAACAAGTATTCTTGGACTATTGTTGCTTATATTCAAAGTGGTTTCGCGGTTTTCTTTTTTATTTCTCTTTTTCGCAATATTTTTTATTTCTCTTTTTCGCAATATTTTCTTTTTTATTTCTCTTTTTCGCAATATTTTCTTTTTTCCACTTTGAATTGATTCTGTAAGTATTTTTCAACAGGAAAACAGTTCCATTTTCCTGCTGTGTTAAATACTTCTCAGAATGTTACTGGCGCAAAATTATGATGATAATGAATTATAGTAAACATGCCTTATAGTATACATGCCGCAAAGCGCCCTATTTCTATCTGCCTAACCTTCCTAACTAGTGCGCGCGCGCATATACCCGTTCAAAAACCTGCAAGGGAAACCCCCAAATGTGGAATCTCGGTCATGCCCCTAGCTTAACTTAACTTAACTTAACTTAACCTAGTGTGTGCCGGTTGCACCTGATGAGCTTCCACAAACAGGGGTAAGGTTTGCATGCCTTATGTTAATGTCTTCCATCGTCGAGCCGCCATAACAGAGAGGGAACCTAATCTCTGGTAGCGAACTGTTTTCATATAACTCGGGCAGAAAACTAACGTTCGAAACCAGCGATATACATGCACTACGGGCGATGAAACCACGCAATTAACTTTATTATTCAGTAAAGCCTAGACTATTTAGATTTACAATACTTATGTCGTTACAGTCCTAAGCTGATCTTTCTGTAGGTGGAAACCGGAGTACCCGGGGAGAATCCACATCTTTCAAAAAATCATGTCCAGAAATATCCACCAATCTTCTTACGGGTACCATTTGCACCCTCTAAGCTATGGATACCATTTGCACCCAGTTTAGTTATCCTACCGAAGGAAAACTATGCCAGCTTTTCAACAAAATTTTGGCCACACCCATATATTACGCACACAAATATACAGATCATGTAATGGATTAAGGTCAAGGTTCTAGGGTTAGATTTAACCCCAAGCCAAAGCCTAACACATTTCATGATATTTCTATACATTTATGAACGTAACACATCGATATAAACAAGATTTTAAAGTCTGTCAAAGTTTTACTTGTTTGCCTATACTCTGGATACTAGTTGCGCGTTGCGTTCATGCACAGACACGGAGACACCTAAGCAGTACATTTACACAAAGAGAACAACATTGGCACGAACAGACTGTAAATAGCTAGTGGGTCTCACTACGAGTTACTGGAGTGAAAAAATAATGTTCACTCCTTTTCACTTTATGTAGTAGTCTTGTATTTGAAGCAAATAAATTGCTCCAGGAAGTACTTGAAACAAATAAATTTCTCCATCGTCTGGATTGTAACACTTACTGAAACCCACCAGTAACCGAACCGAGTGCATGCAAAGAACCACGTGACCGGAAGCTCAAATGTTAACCTCTTAAGATTGACTTTCGATTCAGATGATGTCGAAATTCTGATTAACTGAGGTCAATATCTCATTTTTTATTAGCATGCAAACATCCGAATAAAAGTCAACCTTGCGTGCAAATGTACTACTAACCACAGACCGCCAGGAATTTTAAACCGGTTAACCCAGAGACTTCACCGACCACATGCAAATTAGAGTCTTGGGTATGAATCCTACAAATATACTGCCTGTTAGCAGGCTAACTTGACTGCCTGATAGCAGGCTAACTACTGTCTGATAACAAGCTAACTACTGCTTGTTATCAGACTAAACCCTCTAACCTTGAGGCAGTCATCTCGTTGCTGTCGTGCAGCTTTCGTCGTCAAGGTACATTGGTAGGTAACCGTCGATCGAGAGGCAATTTTATCCACAAATGTTCATAATAATCCACAAGTGTTCGTTGTAATCCATTAATGTTCACAATTATCCATAAATGTTCACAATATCTCCAATAGCGCACAGTGTCACAGTAATCCGTATTTATCCTTTGGTATCCGCTACGACTCTCACTGGACCTCCCATCCGACACCTCAAATGACGTTTTGGTCAGTTTTAAATTTTTTTTGGTCGATATTTTTAATACAATTATAGTATCTACGAAAAACACATTAACTAGTCAAAACCCATGAAATTCTTGAAAGATTAAACCTCAAAGAATGTTTATATTAAAGATATTCAAGCCGAAATCCCAAAGTCAACATCAAAATGATAACGGGAAAACACTGGATAAAGCCATACAGACAAAAAGCCGGCCACAAATCAAAGTTTGGTGGTACTTCGGCTTGATCTTTCCAGGCCTACAGGCGAGCTGTCCCAATCTCATGCCACGAACAAAAAGCACAAACACAAGGTTGGCCAGACCTTACATTTGCGCTAGTTGATCACGACAATCGATCAGAGCAACTCAACTATAGGTCTGGAAAGTCCGAGCCGAAGTATCACCGAACTTCGACGAATGATCGACCACTCATCTGGCATGATTTTACCTAGCGTTTAAACCAAATACCAAAGTGATGTAAACTTCGAAATTTCATTTCAAATATCTTTCAGATAAACAAACTCCCAGATGGAAACTTCCGAATTTCAAACATTTTGATTTCGTCAAGAGCTTTTCACAAATACCAAGAAATATAGAAAATTTGAATAAATTGCGAAATTAAGGAAAATGTGCCATATTTAAATTTGTTTTGTGCATTTGGGCGTCTTCAGGGTGGTCCCTACGTAATTTCGAACACGCACAACGAGAATCACGAGAGAAATATATACCTTCTGCAATGGGCAACATCTTTGGCGATGGTATGGCGTATTGGTTATGGTCTCTGGATGGTACGGCAGACAGTCCCGGGTATGTTATCATATGATTTCGTTACGGTCTTTGTGCAATCTCTGATGAGTTCAATCTCTTCCTTAACTTTGCACTGTAGACGATATGCGACGATGAATGCCGTGAGTCCACAAAGGAATCGGAGCTGGCGGCTGGTCTCATTTGTCCTTAAGTCCTTTGGCTTCTCGTCTTTCTCGTTTTGCTTCAACTGCTAAGCGAGCTTCTCTTCAAATCTGTGCAGAGGTCTTTCTGTACTGTTTGCCATCGAAATGATCAACTTTGAGGCAGTCTAAATAATTGGACAACGAATTGTTAGTTTCAAAACAGCAAAGAGTTCTTTAATGTCTTTACACAGGGTGCGGTTGTCCAATTCAATTTATTTTAATTTTAAAGAATGCGTGCATCTATGCATAAAATTAGGGCATGAACCACGAGGACATTTCATCTCTAAATTTCCCAAAAATATTGGATGAAATTCAACTTGGACAACCCTCAAGAAACTCAAAAGGCTTAGCGTTTCCTCTAGATCTCAGAAAACAATTTGTACATAAACGAAAAGTTTGTAAAAGCTAAAACGTTCAAAAATATGCCACGCCTGCATGTGAAATTGACCATGGCACCTAAAATAAGTCGGTAATTCGCTCGGTAATTATGGACAAACGTTTCACTAATATTGTAACTAAACTTGACTCAGAGTGTTCAAAAGGCTACAAAGCAATGCTAGAAGACGTCCTAGGGGCTAGGTGTATTGGGAAAGCTTGAAAACGAGAAACAAACAAGGAAACGCCTTTAATGGACATTATGCTTACCAAGTGCTTCGGCATTTCGACCATGTCGGCGACTTAAATTAGTTCACTTTTCTCTTCAAATTTTCGCCCTGAAATTGCAGATAAACTAAATATGAGTTAAATAAATCAATGCTGGGGTATTTCTGAACATTACTGCTAGGAAATTAGGGAGAGACACTGAGAAAATAAAGTGACTGAGCAATGAAACGAAGCGCTTGAATGGGAATATGAAATTGAATACGTACTACAATGAATATAGACACGTGTTTTAATAACAGCAATATAACTTAACAAGTACAACTAAAAAATAGCTAAACTTAATACTGACCTTTCCCTCTGCATGGCATAACGATTTTATTTCGAAAACGTTTCATAAAAGCGATGTTTTGCACCAACTTTAATGTGTACTTTCCTAAACTTCGAGTCAGAATGACGCCTCAATGCCTCGAGCAGAAATATTTAAATTTGCCACGAATGCTCAAACCACACCCTTGTTTGGTATCGGTCATATTTTTACGAGCTCTGATTGGTTTAGCTTGCAAAAGCTTTGCTATCATTGGCTACTGCTAAATGCATGCATTGGTCTTAACTCGTTGTTAGAATTTGAATGCCTCAGCACTCTGCTGAACCCACAAGTGAATAAAAGCTTAACACAAGTAAATTTTATGAATAAAGAAACTGCTTAAGAAGCTGCTTTAAATTCCCAAGAGCAGAAAATCATGCGCTTTACAAAGATATTCTAATTTCTTAATAAGTCAATGTCTATAATATATGCACCCTATCAATATTTTGCGCATCTTTGCGTTCAATTCAGCTTAGTGCAGCTGGGGCATCCAAATTTTAACAATACGTTATTTCAATAATTTTGGGTTTTTTGGGACACAAATCACACAATATTCAATAATGTATAACTGGTTTACGTGTTTGAAGCTGAGGCCCGTTGAGCTAGGCCTTTTACAGTAAAATGAACGAATTATTTTATCTGCTTTTGTGTTGAAAACTCGGTTTTGCGAGTAACTGTTTACATAGATAGGCTGCAGAGCAAGGGGAATCATTACTTTGTTGTCTTATAAATCCCAAGCATGCATTAGCTACTTTTAGCTGTCGAAACTCTAGCCTGTAGTGTAGGCCTTATATTTGCAAATGCGATTTGAAGTTTGCCATTTGCCGTAAACGTCAATCTTATAAAGTCCCTAGCTAATGATAAAAAATATCACCGGAATAACACCAAAACATGACAAATTTGAATCTTTATTGTTACAACTAAGAAATGTGTTATATTTGCATAGTTTCATACATATTAACAAAAATATTTTATGATAAAAATCTGCCAGTATAGACCCTTTTCATAGATGGCTGCCGCGATTAAAAATTCTTTTATGTGCATATAAATTGGCCCAACTAGCCTCGTTTCTGGGTAGAAATTCCATCGAAATCTTAACATGAGTACGAGGCTAGTTGGGCCAATTATAATATGCACATAAAATAATTTTTAATCGGCAGCCATTTATGAAACAGTATTTTTATATCGGATTCGTATTCAAACAGTATTTTTATATCGGATTCGTTTTGCCGTCTACACTAATGAACATGAATCCAGTACGTATACAAAATGATCACAGGTAGAGTCTAAATCCGGATCTTTCGAATCCGGAAAAGTTCGCGGGAACCGAATATCCGAAAAAATATGAATCCAGAAAAAACTCTCGTGTAAATGCTTTATGTAAAGAATCCGAATCAATTTGTTCCGGTGTATGTTTTTTTGGCTATCTGTAAAACGACGAATGGGGAATCGGGGAATTGAATAGGGAATGAGAAAAGCCGGAATCTGTAAAACCCGGAATGAGAAAAGCCAGAATCTGTAAAACCCCGAATGAGAAAAGCCGGAATCTGTAAAACCCCGGAAGGAAAAAAGCCGGATTCTTCAAAACCCGGAGTAAGAAAAGCCGGAATTTATTAATTTCAACTGCCAAACAGAGTCAAAACGTTAACATCGCATAATATCACTAATATAAGAGGGTTAAAATTATTCTTTATATTGACCATATCGCTGTGTCGGGCTGTGTAGGGTAAACGCCTCACGGATCCGTGTACTTGAAAAACAAGGATACTTTTACAAATCCGGAAACTTTTGTTCTAGTGTAAACGCTAACATCATCCATCATTCTTGGCAGGCTTTTAGCCAGAAGGGCGTCCCGGCGTCCTGGGATGCCCCTAGAACAAAAAATGGACGTCTTAATTTGGACGCCCAAATTTTGGGGAAAAAGGGAAATTATTTTCAATTATTTCCCTAAGTATATTAATATACCTGAAAAGAAATAGCTTCAATTCTCATTATTATAATACATTTGACATTTTGATCTATTTGATGGTGTACCTGGCAGAATGAAAATGCCGTAGTTAAGTAAAGAAGTATAGAGGCATGCACAAACTCACAAAGACAAAGTCAAGTGTGTTTCGACCGAGCTTGGAACAGATACTGACATGAAGTAACGTAAACTTCAAAACTTCAAAGGTTTTCCAGAGGAACGTTTTCTCGAACCCCCCCCCCCCCTCTCTTTACTGTAGATGTGTCGTTGTACCAAAATTGGACGCCCTCTTTTAGGACCCTGGCTAAAAGCCTGCATGATTATTGGATACAAGTGAACGATGCTGGCCTCGGTTGAACACTACGTTGGATAATGTTGGATTGGGTTTGAGAACAGCTTATCGAAGGGAAGATGGCGGTGAAACTCGTTAGAATAACCTGTTGTTGTAGTAGTATTAGTGGTAGTAGGGGTATTAGTGGTAGTAGGGGTATTAGTGGTAGTAGGGGTAGTAGTATAGTCGTCGTCGTAGTAGTAGTATTTATTTTGACAGGGTAGCCCATTCAGCCGAAGCTGGTATCCAGAGGGGCCCTGCACAATAAAACATACATTTACAGCAATAAATAAACACAATAACAGTCAAACGTCATGCAGCCTAATAAGGTTCTTGAAAGATAACAACGCAGTAGATGCTTTAATTTTTGGTGGTAAAGAATTAAACAAAAGTGTTCCAGAGTATCAAAAGTACGTTTCCCAAGGCTTAACTTAAGTATTATATAGTTGAATGCTACCATTTGTAATAAAATATTCACAAGATTTTGCACAAGATCATGCAGACACTTGAAGACTAAGATACATTTATTCCCTCCTCGGACTGACCATCCTAAGATATTCATAGCTCATTTGAACTGTTTCGTCTCGCTATGACACGACCAGCTCGATTTTGCATCGTTGTAAAATGTCATTATGCACCCATCACCTCGGGAAATCCTGGGGAATGCAAAATCCACATGGCACAAAGTTTGACATTTTCCCGAGGCCCAGGGAAAGGTGGAACATTAAATTCCCAGGACTATGGGGTATGCCTATCGACGACTTTTTATAGATTATATCTTGCAGACTTTGTCCAAGGGCACGTTTACACGCATGTGAGGCTGATTAAAATTTCAATAGTAAAGTTGAGACCTATCACGTTCCCAGAGTATGCCTGTTCGCGGGTTATATTGATAATTCTCTCTTCGCGTATGTTCCCGCGTAATTCTCGCAAAAAACACGCATTAATGTGTCGGCAACTTTGATGATCGCGGCATCCAATCAAATAACGATTTCGATTCGATTTCCCCAGAGTCATGCCACTACACAACCCCGCGAACAGGCATACTCTGGGAACGAGATTGAGACTGTCTTGTTGAACAAGTTGTTAGTAAATATTGCGGCATATTATATTATCTAAAAGTTTAAACGTTTTCTTTTGTATCATAATTTTAAGGTGGTTCCATCATAGATATATTATATACACTAGATAGCGCATCTCTTTTAGTAAAATTGAAGCCAAGAATATTCCAGCGGTTACCCCCATTTGAATAGATGACAGTCATGTTGGTAGTTCCCACTCGCTAATAAACGCTTAAAAAACAACAATAACTTTCATCATTTGAATAGTTTGGAATAGGTTTAACTTAATGTTTAAGTTCCCTGCTTAAGAAATAGAAAACATACGAGTCTTCTCATTTCATGGGAATATCCCGAGTCTGCAATCACGGCTTCAATTTTTGAATTGCAGAATAATTAGATGCACTATCTGGTGTATGTAAGATATCTATGGGCCCATGCTCCATACAATTTCTTGAAAAGTGCAACCCCAATTTTTGTTTTATTAAAGGGATGTGGCAATATATTTTTTATATTTCATTTTAAAGAACTTTTAAAATTATATGTTAATCTCCTTCACCGATTTTGCGTACCTTTATTATTTCTTGAAATATTTTGACTTAAAATAATTTGCTGTCCTCCATCTTGGATTAATTTTTATCTCATTATCGGTGATTTTAGTGACGTCATAAGCAGGGTTAGCCATATAAAAACTACTACATCTAAGTGACCAAATAACATTAAGTCTTGTTTGAAAAGTCGTCAGACAGTTTTTTATTTCAAATAGTTACTGAAGTATATGATTTTGGGCTCATCATAACCAATTGCTCTATGGATAAAATTCTTGCGTGACCCTGCTTATGATGTCACATATATGCATATCCGCCAAAATCCAAGATGGCGGAAAGCTCGCTGATTTGTGATTTTTTCTGTTCAAATATCTCAAGAAATAATAAAGTTACGCAAAATCGGTAAAAGAGATTTACATATAATTTTAAAAGTTCCTTAAAATGAAATAATAAAATAATATATTGCCGTATCCCTTAAAAAGTTTTCTTTTAATATTTGAGTAGTCATTAGGAAATCAAAAAAAAAAATTACTAACAGAATAAATGTTTTCTTCATTTGAAAAATGTTGGATCAATAGAATTTTTTAAAAATTGCCCTAATGACTAAGAAAACTTTTAATAAAATAAAAATTGGGGGTCACCAAAGCTATTTTCGAATTAAACTAGTTTAAACGCAAATTATCAGCCATTTTGAAACGTCATTGTTGCCACGACCACATCAGCACTGCCTGTAACTAACTTATCGTGATTAAATAAATACATATTATTATTATTATTATTATTATTATTATTAAACGACAGTTACGCAGTTTTTATTCAAGACGCCCCCAAGTTATAATTTTTTAAAGTAAATTGCATCTACACGTTATTTTTTTGCCACTACGTTGAGAAGATCCAGTATCTCCAGGCTCAGAGATTTGAAGTGCTGTTCTGCCGCCGCCCAGAAATGTGATCAAATCTTGCGGTAAAGGCAGCTGATCCAGTAAAGAAGGTTTTACAAGTTCCAAGATGACAACACGACATGAAAACTTTAAACTCTGCATTCTCGAAATCTTATAAAACATCAGTTCGTATTTGGTATCATCGTACTCGTTTTCGTACCCAGAAAATGTGGATAAAACTACTTTTGTTCCGCATGCTGAAAACATGGGGAAGAGCCAACGCAGCCAGGACAAAGTTCCTTCTGCCGCCATCCAACAGAGGGGCTCAAGCGTGCTCACATCCATAATTAAGCACGTGTTCATGAACTCATTTTCCATACAACACATCACGCTCAGAAATCGACCATCGGGGGAAAACGAAACACAGTCAGTTCCCCAAATTGCCTGCCAAAACGATTGCGGTAGTACGAATTCCAATTGAACAGTTAAACGTTCAAGCGTGACCACGTTCAACAAAATTACCGCCATTCCCATGGTAACTATAGCAATCAGATATTGACCTCCAATAATACTCGCAGGACTTAAGGCAATGCCAATTGGATCACACTTGATGAAAGGTGTATCTTTGAAACGTTTTTCAAACAGTTGCATAGGAGGCGCTAATTGGTAGACACCAATCACCGGCGTTTGACTGTTTGAGGCGAGCAGAGATCGTGTATAGCTTAAAGGTCCTAACAAAACAACATAGTTTCCATCTTGTGTTAGGTTACATAGCAAATGGGGCTTACGTGGATATGTTGAAAAATATCCTAAATGGGTAATCGCATCTGTAGCGTGGTCAAGAAAACTTATTTCATGTTTCTCTTCTGCTGGATGGCAACTCATAAGAATTGTTACATTGGTATGTAATATATCATACCAATACATTGGTATGTAAAAATCCTGTGAGGGGAGAAAGCCATTTCTTCTTACACTTTCATTGCGCTTTCTTAATGACTGTAGGCCCATCTTAAGGGAGTCGACAGAGTATGCTGTCAATACTTGGGTTACATGTGATTCAAATGCATCATCAGTGATGCCCAAGGTCATATAAGGCTCGACGTATGTTGCTGTAAGACTTGGGTCTGAAACCTAGAAATTGATACAACAGAGTAAAGCACTAGCAATTCTATCGGGTAGTTTTCTCCTCCTGGCAAATGTGATCAAATGAATGACATGCAAAAGACTTAGTCGGGATTCTTTACTTCTGAAAAGTGACTCTATAGACTATACCTTTATGTGCGAGTTCACCATTAAGGGACCGGTCATTATTTATGGCGGGGGGTGGCACCGAAGAGAAATGTTTTTTGTGGCAAAAATTTTGCTGACCCAACCATTAAAAAGTAAAAAATTTGATTACCCAACCTAAAATATCAATTAAAAAATAAATACCCACCCCTGGCCAACTTTACTATACTAATAAATACCCACCCCCTGGCAAACTTTACAAAGGGTACCATTCAGTTGTCACACTTGTCCTTTACCACTTCTGTGACATGGGTTTGATAACAGCTTGTGAAATTTTCTGCAGTCTAAAGTTTCATGTTGTCTGCACATGTTCTTTCTTTGGAGACACCATTATTTTGTTTTGTCAAAATGATCAAGATAGTGACTCTGATTGATTCGCATATTGTATTGACATAAATAACTGTTGACATTGCTTTTCATGAATAATGTCTCCCAAATATTTCAGTGAGTCATGTTTTGGAAATGACAATACATTTTTATTGCCCAACCCTTGGGTTGTTTTGTTTTTCATTTACCCAACCTTTGATCTACTCAAAATTTTGTTTACCCAACCTTTTTCTCTTCGGTGCCACCCTCCGCCATAAATACTGACCGGTCCCTAAACTATAAATAAACTGGAAGGCTAACTGCTATGATGAAGGCCTATGATTTGATGAAGCCAAAATAGTTTTTCTGAGTTATGAGCAGAAATCTTGACCCCAAACGTCGGGCTATATATCAAATTGAAGCTATTGAAAATTGCTATTCGGTGTGGAAATTTCAAGACTTCAGCGAAAAGAAAAATATTTTAAAAATACAAAAACAACTGCAAAACGGCAAATTATCGGTAATTATGTTTGTAGTTTTTCAATATTTCCCTTTTAGCTAAAGTCTTGAAATTTCTATACCAAATAGCGTTTTCAATAGCTTCAAATTGATATATAGCCCAACGTTCAGTGTTGAGTATTTCTGCTCATAACTCAGAAAAACTAAA